TTAATGTTTATTATTTGGGATTTCCTATGCCTTTTTTTTTTCACTGTTTCCAAGCCAGTGGAAAGTTGTAAAGACATTACATAATGTGGCCCACAACTATTCTATTCTGTCTATTAGCAGAAAAAGTGTCTCAAAATAGAGACCAAAGAATAGGACCAAAGTTGGTGTGGGAGGAGAAGGTAGCGAAAGAAGGACTGAGTTCAAAAATGGGGTGAATCCCCCAATGCACCCCATAAGAGAGGCACTGGAAATGGCTTGGAATACTTTCGACTCCACCATTCTAACCCAACTTTGTCCTCCATCCCAGTCATATGTCCCAGAGCAGACCTGTTTTTAGGAGGTTAGAAAGAATTCCAGAAGCCATTCGTGGAACGCTTTCCTTAACCTGTTTATTCTCTTTCCTATTGTGACATTTTTCTCACCTTTAAAAAATCCTTTGTTGGAGCGCTAAAGAGAACCAAAACCACAGACTTTTCCAGATTTTTTCCAGAGAGCAAAAGTGATCCTTTAAATCAGTGTTTTTCAAACTTGGCAACTGTAAGATGTGTGGACTTCAACTCCCTGGGAGTTGAAGTCCACACATCTTAAAGTTGCCAAGTTTGAAAAACACTGATTTAAATTAACCAAACAATTGTGTAAGAATTCCCTGTATTCAGACATCACAGGAGAATAGAGGCAATTGACTTGGATATCAACTAAGATATAATTTTGCAACAGAGAGAATCATTTTGATTATGTGGATAATTCAGAAAATCCATTGTGTCTCTTTCTATTGTAACGTTTTCTAAGCACCCTATCATGGATGAAAAATTACACTTGGCAGGTACAGGTATTTAACTTTATAAATTGTAAGTAAATGAGAGCGCACAGTGATAATCAGTGGCTTGAAAGAAAGCTGAGAAAATGCTAAAGGCTAAATGGCCCATCTGTTTTCTTCCAGCTTTTACATCGTTTCATTCCTTCCCCCAAGTGGGAAGTCATACAGATTTAGATGGATATGCAGTACTCCTTTTTGAGTGACCATACATTCCTACTATATTTTTCACTGATACTTAGAAATTGAATGCATAACCCTTCCAAAATGATTAAATGTAGAATGGAATTCAATCAAATTAACTCTCTTCTGCAATCCAAAGCAGTGTAATTCAGATGCATATTTAGTATTGCTTATTAAAAGTGATCTTTCTCACTTCTAAATAAAGAAGATAAACATATAAGCGAGACAGAAATTTTAAAATGCCATTATATCCCCAATTTAATGTCCAAGATATTTAATCAAACGTTTCAAAGATTTTGTGGAATGATTTTCTAGTGTTGTATAGTAGTTGGACTACAACCTACCAATGCTGGAAGTCAAAAAGTTGCAACAAACGTACCTTCTTAACTCTATTGCATTGGTCTTAGTATATACAACACTTTTTAGCTTCTTCATTTAAAAGATCATAGCACTAATTCTCAAGTGATATTTACCATAGTGCCTACTAGGAAAAGAAAACCCTAAGTAGGTTGTGGGAGGAAATTTAAGTCCTAGTCACAAAAGGGGGGGGGGGAATACGTCAATTCAAACTGTTGGATAATTTCTTTAGCCAAATGGGCAAGACTTTTCTTTGCCTGCATATACATCTTATTTTCTAAAAACGTGTTTGGACCTCCTGCTTATAGTTGTGTATACAAAAGGAAGTTAATCACAGGTAGTTATTTCCAGATTTTTTCACACACTACTATACTGCATGAATCAATACATTTTTCCAAGACTAATTTAAATTGTGAGCTTTGCCAGCATAAATAGACATAAAAATATTGAACTTATAAAAAAAGGGAATTCATATGTTGCAAGAGAGGCAAAGGAATTATTAATTTTGCCTTGGATTCTATGTCACATTGGTGATTAATGGTGGAAGCATTAATTAGTTAAAGTGGTATAATTTTCTCTAAGATGGAAGCTATATGTATCAGTTAAGTAATCTATGTTACAGGTGGTCACAATAGGGACTGGAAAATTCATTGTTAAGCAATGCGGTCATTAAGGGAGGCATCACGTGACCACACCTGATTTTATAACATTTTTTGTCCCAGTTATATGAATCTTCATGGTCGTTAAGTGAATCATGTGGTCATTAAGCAAATCACACAGTCATTAAGTGAATCATGAAGTTCCCCATTGATTTTGCTTATTGGAAGCTGGCTGGAAAGGTCACAAATGGAGATCATGTGACCCGAAGACATTGCAAGCGTTGTAAAGACATGCCAGTTGCCAAGCACCTGAATTTTGATCACGTGACTGTGAGGATGCTGTGATGGTTGTAAGTGTGAGGACCAGTCGTAAGTCACTTTTTTCAGCACTGTTGTAACTTTGAATTGAAGTAAGTTAAGGACTACCTGTACTGTTTCCAGTTAGGGTGTGCAGTGACTACAGGTAGTCCTCGTTTAGCAATGGACTCATTTAGCAACTGTTCACAGTTTCAGTAGTGATGAAAAAGTAATTTTGCGACCTATCCTTGCATTTACAACCTTCACAGGTGGGTAAAGCAAAGGAAAGCTGAGGTAAGATTGTAAGGACAGTCAGGTTTCACTTTGCAACCACTTTGCTTAACAACCTAGTTAAGCCAGTCCCAATGTCCCAACCACAACCCAATTTTGTGGTTGCTAAACGAAGATTTCCTGTACAAGGTGTAGTTCAGACACAAAATTGATGAGTGGAAAAACAAATTATTTAGCCACTGAATAATTCATTGCCCTTCCCATTCAGTGTTGATCCACAAAACCAAACCTTCATGTCTCATACTGATCATTACTGGGAGAATTATGAAGACAACTTTATTTCTGTTTGACAGCATTAGATAATATTTTTAGAAACAAACACGCTGAGGTGACTACTTTGAATTTCAGACAGAATAGCTTAAAGGTATTTGTGTTAGATGTCTTTATAGATTATTTTTGGGGAAAAAATATCTAGCAACTTAACTGTTTGGGGAATCATGCCTCCTGTATTTTCTTTCATATGTACAGGTAGTCTCCAGTTTAAGAACGAGTTCCGTTCCCAGTCTGTCCTTAAGTCGAATTTGTATGCAAGCTGGAACGGTATTATTGTATAATACTGTGCAAGTAATATTGTGTAATTAACTCGAACCGTTATGTATTTAACTCAAAGTTTGCTACAACAGGGTCCGTTCTTAACTATGGGTTGTCCTTAAACTAGGCATTCTGAACCCGGGGACTACATGGTATAGGGTCATGGGGTTTTTACTTCTTGTTTGTGCAAGCAAGTTTTTAAAGTTTGGTGACTTATTTAAAAAAGGCATGGTTATCAACCCGAATGTTTAGTGGGAAATCATTGGTAAAAAAACATGTAACAGTTATAATTCAAAGTAGATGAAGGATGCCCATTTAGAAAAGGCTTTTACTAGTTGTTGCCTTACTCAGTGGATGAATGTGGATCGCTTACCCTAATTATGAAGTGGCCCAGCAAAGAAGCCTATGCAAGTCAAAAAGGTAGATGCTGGGTCTGGGGAATTAAGGATGATTCAGTTTAAGACTTTTTGTCTTTTGTTCATTTTGGTGACAAAGCCACAGAAAGAGCTGTAGGATAAGGGTAGTTGGTAGATATGGAATGAACAGTAGTAAATACATTCCCAAGTAGGTATCCAATAGTCGTGGTGATTCTAGCAGGTCTCTTTCACATTCTTGCTTCTGGAGCACTTGAATGCTGCATCCTTTCCCCAAAGCACCATGACTGGAAATTCTGGTAAAAATATTTAGTCTTATTTTAAATTTAATCATTCTCACTTCTTCCACTTTTGAATTTTCCTTAAATTCAAACCCTTGAATTCTCCAGGGTCTGGAGAGGAAAAGAAGGTACGCATCTTTATAAATATACAATCTGTGCCTTTTTCCTTCCAAATTCCAAATAATAAAATTGGGGCAGGGGGTCAGATTTAAATTGCTTTGGGAGAGCCAAATTCAGTCTTGTCTCAGATCTGTTTCAATCAGCCTGATAGCATTCATGATTCAACTGAAGTTTATTCATATTTGTTTCAAGTTCAAAATTAAATTTTGTCATAACCTGAGGCAAGTATACTTCAAAACAAAGGAACAAAACATCAAAGTATCTACAAATCTATATACCTAAAATTTAAGATATATAGTAATTAAAATAATACTAGTAATGATTTTAACTTTTATGATACAGAGGTCATCATCCGCGATGTTCTAAAAGCTACATAGCAAAATTCGGTGACATTATAAAATTCATATCAGATAAAAGATAAGCTATGTAAAAGTCTTCTATTCAGTCTGAAGTTGCTGCTGAAAAAGGGAAAATTAGCTTGTGCTGTGAATCACAATCAACAGTGTAATTATTTCAGTTTACCTACATGCTGTATGAGCACAAGCAATTTGTCGTACAAATTTTTGTTTTCCTGCCTTGCAGCAATATAGATCAGAGGGTGTTAGTGCATGCCCTTGTAAAGGCTCAATAATAATTGGGTTGGGTGAGTCTACAAAGACAGGGGGCCATAACCTTCCCTTGAAATGTTTCCAGATTTTACCATTGGAGCTCTGTAGGTTATGAACAGATAGAAGCCATTGTGTATCTCAGTCTGCATGCACTGTAGGCTTAGCAGTGCAGGTCAGTGATAAAAATACCAAAACACTATTCTTCCATTCTTTTCTGTTCTTTCATAGGAAAAAAAGTCCTGAGTCCTCTAAGGCGACAAAAAAAAAAAAAAAAAAAACAGAGAAAATCCGACTAGTATCTTCAGTATTCAAAATTGAGAGGGCATTAGTAATCTTTGAAGAAGCAAATTGGATGTTGTGAAAGTTTTAAACCATTGCCATACTAAAATGGATTAAAAAAAAAAAAACCCTATCCCAACACAATGTACTGCTGCATACACCTATAACAAAACTCTGGTCTGCAAAGGGAGAGAGACGTTTCTTTTTATAAAAACAGAGGCTGAATCCTTCACCATTCTTCTTTCCTTCCCTTTTCTTTCTGTCAGGCGGAACCCTCTTCACTTCCATCTCATTGCAGATGCCATCGCCAAACAGATCCTGGGAACCCTTTTCCAGACATGGATGGTCCCTGCAGTGCGCATAAACTTCTATGATGCTGATGAGCTGAAGGTAAAATATATACTGCAAAAATTGCTTCATGTTGTGATTTCCTTGTGTACTTATATAAATCCTAAAAACGGGAAAGAAATCCTCTTGATCCAGATGTATAATCTGAATTTGTCCAGCTACAGCTGCCAAAATTCCCTGGGTTAAGGGATCTGTAGTACTCAAGATGTTGCTAAATTGCTATTTCTATCATGTCTCATCACTGATGGGCTTCCTAAAGGTGTTAGGAGTCATTCAGCAGTATCTGGTGTTCTATGGCTTGCCTATTGTATGCAGCCAACTTCAAGTCTATGCTTATACTTTTTAGCATTTTGGAATGCAGTTCTCAACTCAGAAGTTTGGACAAAATTATGCACATTAGGGAATCTGTTCACAAAAATGCATATTGCATTTTTAAAATAATTCTTCTTGCAAAAAAATTATAAAATGTCAGTCCATACCAGTGCATGCCATAAATGCATACCATTTACAATAAACACTTCCCTAGCTAATTACACCCCTTCATGGATCACTGCCTTGTCGTGGCGAAGGGGCTTGCGTAACTCAGTGAAG